TTTTTTTTAAATCCCACCCCCTTACTAGGGAAGGTGATAGGAGCATCCTCCCCTAGTACAGGCCGCGGTGCTCCAGTCTACTGGTGGGGAGCTACACCTGCTGGAAAGCGGGTCCAGCGTCCCCTTAGATACAAAATGATTGAACCGATTGTAGGAAACACAGAGGGCTACCTTCCAGCATTGACTGCCCCAGGGGAAGCTGGGGGGTTCACTTCGCAGTGCATAATTGAGGACTGCCTAAATTACCTCTTCACCCCACAGAAGGGCGCCTGATATGCACAAATCAGCACTGACATCTTTCAAGCAACCCACTTACAATGAAACACTAAGAACATCCAATACTATGTAATACTTCATCCTGCAACACTTGCAGTTAAAAGCATATCCCCCTAACAGCGCAGCCAGTGACTCTAGACAATAGAATAGGAAAAGTATGCTACCTCTTCAGCTTATACCCAAAATTGCATAATCAATCTGCCCCCCCCCGTCCCTACCATTGAATTTCTACCATTGCAAGCTCAGAGGGTGGGAAGGGATGAGGGCAAGATTCTGGGGATCTCAAAGAAGACCCTGTGCAATCAGACTCGTTCTCAAACACACTTTTCATGCATGTAAACAGCAACGCAGCATACTGGCGACATGCGCCCACTCAAAACTCAGAGATATGGCTTTCAGACACGAGTTCACTCTCAAATGGTTATGGCGACTTCAGCGCCCAAACATCTCACTGTTCACATACACTGGATCACCCTGGATATCCCACATGCAGCACTCTAACACTCGAGCACACACACACACTCACTACTAACTACAGCTATGGCAGCTATGGCTGCCTCTAACCTATCGCTATGCCAACTCCTCCTCTCTTGCCCACTGCGTCCTCCGGGCTCATCTGCAGACCTCCTTGCACAAGTCGCTGTGGCAGCGCTTCCGCATGGCTCACGCAGGAATGAATGAATGGCTGGGGCTGCCTCTTGATTTATACTTCAGAAACTCGTTGGTCTGCCCTTTGCCATCGGCCCTTGGTGCTTACAGTCCCCCTGTGGTACTTGCTGGACBGGRNTGGGACTGACTGGACCTTCCGTTGACTGACTGTGGACTCACCGCTATCCTACCGCCGTTGCACTGCTGTTGCACTGCGGTTTAGTCCACCACTTGCCTCACCACTTGACCACTTGCCCACTTGCCTACCTTCTAGAAGGTCTACTGCTAAGCTTCCAGAACTCACTAAGACTCCTACGCTATAGACCTACAGATCGAAC